CACACACACACACACACACACACACACACACACACACACACACACACTTTCCTTGACTCCATGTATACCCTTTCAGCTCTCCCTCTCTTCCACCTTCACAATCTAAGCTTCCCGACTTACAGGTAACTGCACTTAGTCTTCATTTTCCACTCATGTCTTTGTTTCTATCCTTACCTTTCTCCTAAAACCGCCCACAGTAATGACCCCATGTGTCACTAAATCTTTTTTAATTATTATGTTAATCACCATACATTACATCATTAGTTTTTGGTGTAGTGTTCCATGATTCATTGTCTGCGTATAACACCCAGTGTTCTATGCAGTACGTGCCCTCTTTAATACCCAACACCAGGCTAACCCATCCCCCCACCCCCTCCCCTCTAGAACCCTCAGTTTGTTTTTTAGAGTCCATCGTCTCTCATGGTTCGTCTCCCCCTCCGACTTACTCCCCTTCATTCTTCCTTTTTTTTTTTTTTAACATATATTGTATTATTTGTTTCAGAGGTACAGATCTGTGAATCTTAAAGCTACTCTTTAGAACCTCTGGTTGTTAATCATAGTGCTTTAGAGTCCTTATTTCTGGAATCCCTCTCTTCTCCTGGTTTCCATCCTACAGTTAAGATAATTCTTATCATTTCCTTTTCACCTTTCTATTCTTCTACCAGTTTTTTAAGTGTTGCCATTCCTCAGGGCTCCAATCCAGGTCCTCTTCTCACCCTGAATAAAGTCTGGAGTGGGAGGTGGGGGGGGGCGCCTCTTCCTCCTCCACAATGACCTCAGTGCCTTTGGGACCATGTGCTGATGCCTCTCAAATCTACGTATCAAAGCCACACCTCTGGTTTGAGCTCCAGCCATCTTCACTTGATTGCCTAACTAATAAATCCAAAAGCGAACCCATCATCTTCCAAATCTACTTCCGACCTAGTTCTGAGAACTAGAAGTGTGGGGGTCATCTTTGAATGTCCCTTTTTTTCATTCCCTACATCAAAACTGGAACTCATTCCTGCAGATTTTACATCGTACTTCCTGAACACGCCCCCTCTCTCTTCAGGTCCAGTCAGTGCCCTGTCAAGGCAGCCTTCCTCATTTAGCCAGGAGGCTGCAACAGTCCGTTCACCAGTCTCCCTGTCACCCATCCAGCTGCTCTCTGATCCACCTGCTACACTGCTGCCTGTGGGATCTAAGAGAAATCTGATCCTTCAAATACGTTCTCAAAACTCTTAGGATAAAATGTAAATTCCTTAACATATTTTACAAGACCCTTGTAACATACTTTACCATCTGCCCTCCCCACTTCCCCCGCTAATTCTCTAGCTCCATCTAGAAATACTCCTTCCCTCCCTTTCTCTACTAGCCAGTTATTTTATTTCTCAAATGTGCCAGATTCTTCCCCCTGCCTTTCTCCCACCTCTCATTCAGCAAATATTTAGTAAGTTCACTTTCCCTGGCCAATTCTTACTTGTCCTTCAGATGTTAACTTTAAACACCATTTGACTACTTAGGACTAGATATCGTGCTCTATAATACCTATTACCTTCCCCATTATACATGTCATTTTACTGTAATCACTTTTTTCTTATCTTCCCTGTAAAAATCCAATAGGGCATTGTTATCTTATTCACTGAATTTGAAGCTAGGTCTGACAAGCATTACATATTTAATATTTGTAAATAAACTGTGAAAAATCAATAGATGGAATTACACTAGGTACTAATCATGTGTTGTATACTAAGAAAATAAACCTGAAAGTTATGAATTATTTCCACTATTTTCCCAGTTTCAGATAAGCAGCAGAGCAATCTCCGGAAGATTAAATAATATCACAAATATTTAAAGTGTCAGGGCAGAGCTGAACTTACATGCATAAGAGTCAAACTTTTTCTATAACCACGTTGTTTACTTATAAACATTTCGTATATGTTGCAATTAGACTTTTGTACTCCTAAAATAATACCTAAAAATAAGGTAACAAACTTTTTTTATATAAAAATCCTGATTAAATCACTTCTGTGAATCAGACAAGATACTTTTAGGACAGCCTTTAACAAACAGTTTAAATTTAAAACATTTAAGTGAATCTCAAGTCAAAAGGAGAGACACCAAAGTAAGATAGAAAAATTTAAAAAACAAAGGAAAAAATATGCCAATGATCAACAGATACTGCTCTAAATCTCATGGATTCAATATTCAGCTAGGGAAATGTGTTAACATTACTACACTGAATTGAACTTTAAAATCAGCAGCACATTCAGATCTTATAAGGTTTTTTTCATATATTGTCAAATATAGAAGCAGTATGGTAAAAGAGGGCTAATATGAATTTTGGACTCTATAGGTATGGGGCAGCTGGCTGGCTCTGTCAGAAGAGCATGCGACTCTTGATCTTGGGGTTATGAGTTCGAGCCCCACCCTGGTGTAGAGATTGCCTAACTAATCAAACAAACTTTAAAAATATATATATGAATGTTGCAGTCATTAGACCCGGGCTCAGATCCATATTCCCATTACTTAATAATTGTGTGACCTTATGCAAGTTTCTCCACTTCTCTGAGTTCAATTTTCACATAGGTAAAATAAGAACATTATCATCTTTATGAGCAACTATTTTAAGAATTAAGGTTAAAATACATAGAGCCCCTAGTACAAGGCATATATTTCATATATTTCAGCATATAAATGATATAAACTAATTGATATCTTCAGATATTTGATCTAGAAATTTAATCTGAAATTGTCAAAACATACTCATTTGAAACATAACTTGAACAACTTTTCCTACTATCTGTTATACCTACTAATAAGTCAATTATGTCTATAACCTTAGTATTTGATTGTTTACAAAGTGTTATTTTTGTAGGGATGACAAGGAAGGTAGGAGAATAAAAAAGAAGAAATAACACAAAAAGATCATAAATGTTTCAGCTGTTAAAAGATGGTCTGGCTGCAGAATCTTCTGTGCATAAGAAAATCCAATAACAATTTTGCACCTGCAACTGAGGGATGAGGCTGAAGGGATTAGGAATTCCCTGTACTTGAAAAGAAATCTCTGAACTCCATCATTCCTTCTCTTTCTCTCAGGATTTCAAGGGCTTGATGTACTTTGTACCACACATCTCAAAGTTCCCATTAATACTGGGAAACCAGGCAAGACACAGTTACGTTAGTATGTTACCCCATGAATTCTGATCTTTCCAGGAAGTGTAGAACATAAGCAGAAAATGGGAACTAAAAGAAAGGGTAAGAAGAAAAAGGAAGGAAGGTGATGGAAAATCATTTAAACCATTTTTATTTATTTATTTATTTGGGAGAGAGAGAATGAGAGAGAGAGAGAGAGCACATGAGAGGGGGGAGGGTCAGAGGGAGAAGCAGACTCCCTGCCGAGCTGGGAGCCTGATGCAGGACTCGATCCAGGGACTCCAGGATCATGACCTGAGCTGAAGGCAGTCGCTTAACAGACTGAGCCACCCAGGCACCCAAGATGGAAAATCATTTAAATGACACTAAATGATTAGCGCTAAAGATAAGTAGGTCAGAAAAAAATCACTAATATGCAATAATTAGAAATTAATTTGCAGTTATAAATATTGCTGCTATAAATACTAGATGTCAACTTCTTTTTAATCACTTAAACTTCCTTTAAAATTAGCTTACCAGAATCATAGCTTGGAGGCTTCATATCTCCCTGATTCAATTCTGTCCCATATTTCAACTTGTGGTATTTGGCTCTAACAAAGACATAAGAAAATACAAACCATCTTAAAACATATCAAAATGAACTTTAGGATATGTAATAGGAGTAGTCATCAGTACGCAGTAGTCCTGGCTACCTTTCAAAGTAGGCTTCCACAGTGTCAAAGTGGTTGTCATTATTATTGTTGTTACACCATCAAGTGCCATTATAACAAATAAAAGAGTAACACTGGGAACCATAAATCTTTCTATAATTACATATAACATTCTAGTTTCTATAGTATTCAAATTTTCTTGATGATTTCCAAGTTACAATTCTACCATCAAAAGCAGTACATATATTTGGATTACGAAATAAACTTGTAGAAGACTAACCTTTCTCAAAATTGATGTATTTATAAAAAGAAAACTCATCTAATGGTATATACATACAACGGAGTATTATGCAGCCATAACAAAAGGGTGAGATCTTGCTATCTGTGACAACATGGATGGACCCAGAGGGTATCATGCTAAGTGAAATAAGTCAGACTGAGAAAGACAAATACCAAATGGTTTCACTCATGTGTGTAATCTTAGAAAACAAAACAAATGAATAAACAAAAAGCAGAATCAGACCTATAAATATAGAAAACAGAGACTTACCAGAGGGAAGGGCAGTGAGGGAATGGGCAAAACGGGGAAAGGGGACTGGGAGATACAAGCTTGAGTTATGGAATGAGTAAGTCACAGGAACAAAAGGTACAACAAATACAACAGTTGATGATACTGTAATAGCACTGTATGGTGACACATGGTAGCTACACTCGTGGTAAACACAGCATAACATATAGAGATAATGAATCACTGTGCTAGACAACTGAAACTAATGTAACACTGTGTGTCAACTACACTCAAAAAAAAGTTTTAAGTCATCTATAATACTCTGTGCCTTGTCAGTCCATTACGATTTACCAAGTAGGCATTACAGTAAACAATCCAAAGGAGAGAGGAGGAATCAGCCCTAATCACCAGTGTTGAATAAGGTATTTCAATAGGAATGAATACATTTTTTGTTAATAGTCAAGATATCCTTTGCCTTTTCAGGAAGGACTATGAAGAGAAATTCTTATCTATTTCCCTTTTAAAGCTAGCTGAATATAATTATTTCTGGCTAACCTGATTTCACCATTTCAGATTTAAACATCTGAGACCAGAAAAATAATCCAGATAAAGTAAAAATTTTAAAGGTCAATCAAAAATGGCCATACTTACGTAATGTATTTATATATTTTGACTTGTTTGCTTCCCCAAAATATTGAGGCCATTCATAATAAATATTAAATGCAATAAGGTTAGGATAACAACAGTAATAATAATTAATTCAGCACTTAAAGAAGTTTTTATATTTCAAAAAAGGTATAAAGGAAATGAAAATTATTTGCTCAAATGGGCAAAGTACTGGAATTCATATTATTTTATAGTTACAACAGAAAAATCAATGTTTATATAGAGGAGGATCTTAAGAAAACCTATGAAAATTACAGACAGCTGATGTTCTATTTAAGGTCGGCAACAAGTATATTAGTCTTTATATGTTTTGCATATGTACAGAATGTTTTGTAATAATATATACACATTAAAAATAAAAAAGAATATTTGTTCTATATATGTGTTATATATATATGTCATATGTATAGAAGATTTCTGGAAGAATACGTAAGACATTAGTAAGATTTCCTTTGGGAAGGGAAAGCAATACATAAAGGGAGACCATATTGTGTTATCTGGTTAATTAACAACATGCATATATTTCTTTTTTTTAAATTTTTAGTAAATACTTTTGTTCCAAATTAACTAGAACATCTTTTTCTCTATTCCCAATGCTTCTGTTAATCACAAAGATTTCATCACCAAACATTTCCTAGTCTATTTCAATGTATTTGTAATAATGTTGATTATTAGAGAATAAGATTTATAGCCACTGAATTTTACTTACAGTTACCAGAAATTAAACAAGGTTCTCAATATTTGTCAATCTTCAGACTTTTCATCTACCATGAAACAAAGTAACAATACCTCCTAAAAGTCAAATAGCAATTGAAAGTAACTGGTCTGAGGATGGAATAAAAGTAGCAATAAAATATTATGGAGTTCATTTTCATACACACACACACACACACACACACACACACACACACACACACAGAAAAACATTTCTATATAAAAATACTGCACTATAGTGCATTCTAGTGGTCTTGGGAAAAACTGCAACAGAGTTTATATAAAAGAGGAACAGAAATATTCTTTACAATGTATGTAATAAAAATAACATACTATGAGCTAACATTTCATAAAAGATTAGACAAAGTAAGTAAAGAACTGTCTTGTTTACCATAGGCTGTGTTCCCTTAAAGCAGGGTCTCCCTACTAAACTGCTAAATTCACTGAAAAAAACCTTACTCCCAGAACCCTTCTCAACTTAGCAACATTCCTTTTGAAGCTAACATGCCAAATACCTTTCTCACTCATATTGTTTCCCATGGTTTTAATACTTCGTCTCACTGTGTTATTTACCAATCTTCTTATTCCCTTATCTTTCTGTCTAAATGTGACTGTAAAATAAATAGCAGATCTCATGCCTAAGAACCCTATGTCTGATACATAGCTAGGCCTCCCAACTGACCTTTACTGGATAAAAGAGCATAAAAATTGTATAACAATAAAGAAGTCCCGTTATAGCTTTGTTTCAAAGTCTTTTATTATATATAATGTGCTAGGAATATAACATAGCATCTCAATCACATTTTAAATGTTGATGCTAAAAATAATCTGATTAAATCAATGAACTGTTTCTGAATTCTTATGACATGTCAGGCACTGTACTGGCTGCTGGGAATAACCGGCAGTTTGTAGTCAATTAAGGGTAGAAGCAAGGAGATGCCTAAGAGATAGAAATTAAAATAAATAACAACAGCACCCTGTGATAAGAGTTATGAGATATATCAAATGTTATAGGAATTCACATAAGAGATTATCTAATTCTGTCAAAGGTGGTGTCAAGGAGAACTACCAAAAAAAAAGGTAACATATGAGATTTTAGCTAAACCTCAAAAAACCAGTGGTTTTCCAATCAGACGAATAGATTGATGAAAAGTATTTCTGTCAGAAGAAAAAGTGGGGAAAAAAATACATCATGGGTCAAAAAAAAGCCGTGTGTGTGTGTGTGTGTGTGTGTGTGTGTGTGTGTGTGTGTGTGTGTACAGGACTAGAAAGAGGCCTGGCTGTAAGAGGTCTTACTAAGATCTTTGAAATTAGCTACATATTTTTAAGCAGGGATATAATATATGTATTTCAAAAAATGAATCCTATGAATGTGGAAGATGAATTAGAATATGGAAATATCAGAGGCAAGGAGGACATGTGGGTTTTTATAGTGCAGGTGAAAGAGAGAAATGCGGAAAAATGGAATGTTTCAGAATTGTATTTTATGTAGTATTTAAGGTTCTTCAGTATAGAAGTTCCTGAGTAAATCTTAAACACTATGTGTTCTTGAAAAATTAGATGTAAATTTCCTCATTTTACATATTCTATCACACGTTAAGGAATGCCTTGATAAATTCCTGGCTAGGCGAGTAATCTTCCTATAATGTTAAAGATTCAGTTTCACTTAATTTTGGATCTTTTTAAGTGGGACTACTTAGAAAATCTGTAACACAGCAATTCTAAATCATGATCCTTACCCTTAGGTATGTCAGGGTAAATGACAAGATGTCTAGAATTTGCTGTCCTAAAATAGATAAAGATGAAGTAAGAATGACAGGAACATTAACTGTTGAGGCTTGGAGGTGTATATAAAAGATATTAGTCTCTCTACATTTATGTTTCAAATTATGCTCAATAAAACTCCTTAAAAATTCTTGGCTTAAAGTATTAGAAAAATAATTTCAGAATCAGAAGAACTGAAATGTTCTAGAACTCCAAAATTTTAAAAATTCCTGGCATTAAAGAATTCGAAAAATAATTTCAGAGTTAAAGAACTGAAATGTTTAAGAGCTCTAATCCAGAAAGAAATGCTTTATTTATTCCTTATTACACTTAAGTAGTGCCATAACATCAGGAATAATCTCAAATCATTCCATAAATTTCAAAAGATACAAAATCAGTGACTCTGGAATCAGGAGAATTCCATTAGTTTAAAAAAAAAAAAAAAAATCTTCCTTAGACCCAGCCAGTTATCTCTCCTGTTTTTCAAAGTCAAACTACTTGAAAAAATAAGCGACTGTATCTGTCTCCACTTCATCTGTCCTTCTCAGCCCTCAATCCCCTGTGATCTGGTTTATGTTCCTGCTACCTCACTGAAACTATCCTGGCAAGGAGACCAGCAAGCTCCTACCGGGCACATCTAGATAACTACTTTCAGCTTACAACTTACCTGGAGTCTGCTGGGCATCTGCAATTGTCAAACTCCCACCTTCTTTAGCTTGCGTCCAACATAACTGCTCTCTCCTTCCTTCTCCAACCCTTCCTTTGCTGGCCCTTCCTCCATCTGCCTTTTCCTCAAACACTTCCATTTCCTGTGGCTCCAGCTGATTCTGTCTTCTTCTCCCATAATACTTGTTCTGCTTGTTTCAACTACTCCTGTAACTTTATCCACAATACTTATGGTACCCAAGTATACATCTCTAGTCCTGAGTCCCACTCCCATATCTGCTTTTCAATACTTACTTCTTAATCTTTAATTCATTTGATAACTTATAAAACTTTCACTCAAGCCAGGAACCTGGGAACCATTCTTGAATTATAATTTTTATGGATTCTATTTAAAATGTTTCACAGCTGATGCCTCCTCTATTCCAGCAGCTACCATGTTATAATTTCTCATCCTAGACTATTAGACTCTTCCTGCTTCTATTCATAGATCTTTCCAGTCCATCCCCCATAACGAAGTCAGGGTGATCTTTCTAAAATCTATTTCACACTATTCCATGCTCCTTTCAACTGCATGACAACTAAATACAATACGTATTCCTAGACTGGATCCTAGAGCAGGAAAAAAAAGTACTATAAAAATCATTACTGGGACATTTGATGGGGAAAATGCTATTAAGATCATCACTGGAGGGGCACCTGGGTGGCTCAGTCATTAAGCATCTGCCTTCAGCTCAGGTCATGATCCCAGGGTCCTGGGATCGAGCCCCACATCGGGCTCCCTGCTCAGTGGGAAGCCTGCTTCTCCCTCTCCCACTCCCCCTGCTTGTGTTCTCTCTCTCGCTGTCTGTCAAATAAATAAAATCTTAAAAAAAAAGATCACCGGAGCATATGAATATGGGCTATATTAGGTAACAGTGCTATATCAACATTAAATTTCCTTAATTCGATAAAGAGTTGTAATTATATAAGGGAATCTCCTTGCTCTTAGAAGATATATACTGAGGTATTCAGGGGCAAAGGGGTATAACATCTGCATCTAAGTAGCAAAAGATTCAGAAAAAAAGCAATACGCCTACAGAGTGAACATACCAGTAAATATAGCAAAATGTTGTCAACTGGGTGAATCCCGGTAAAAGGCATGTAGTTCTTTTAATTACTATTAGCTTGAGAAATTTCAGAATAAAAGGTTTTGAAAAACTTTCAATGTTCCCTATTATATGGAAGATAAAAGTCTGAACTCCTTAGTTAAGTTCTCCATCATCTGGCTCTTGCTCACATCTACCATTATCATTTATTAAATCACAACTAACATCCTACCGTCGACACACAGTGACTGCATATTTCTGTAACACACCAAACTACTTTGTTCCCTGTCAAACATATCCTCTCTACTTCTTGAACCTTGCCTACCTGGCGAACATCTTATTTTTTATGATACTGTTGAAGTCTCACCTCCTCTCCAATTACATCCTTCCTTCTACTGCCACCTTCCAGATCCAAATAACCACTCCCTTCTTTGTGACCCGACTGTACCCTGTACAGACATCTCCAATAGCACTTATCGTACTGCACTGCACTTTTGTGGTTTACAAGTGTGTTTCCTGCTACTCTGAGCCCTTAAGGACAAGGACAGTGACCTACGTTTATACTCAGCTCCAGCACAGTGCTTAAGTTGGATGGATATATTAATGAATATGTTTAACGAGAAGGGACACACTCATACACGCACATACACACAAAACATCCCTGGTTACTTTAGTATATGTATATTTTAACTCTTCTGTATTACAAGATAGAATCATGTATTGGTAAAGAGTATATAGGCTTCAGAATCAGACAGACCTGAGGGATCTGAATCACAGCTCTCCTACAGCTTTGCAACTCTACTCAAGTTACTTTGTTTTTAAGCTTCAGGGCCTGGTACACAGTAGTTAATAAATAGCTGCCATTATTAATGTTATTATTCTTTCTCTTCCATGATGCCTATAATTAGATTCCTTAAAATCTCAAATATTCCCAAACTGCATGCTTTTAAAAGTAGTTTCCCTCCCCCCACCCATCTCTCCAATACAGCTTTTAAACAACCTCTCAAGGAATAAAAAGAATCATCTATTTTTTAACCAAGAGGTCAGCCTGTTTGCAATTTCTTGTGCCATTCAAAGATCCTGTGTAAAGGTGAAAACAAGTCCTATTAAAGTTTAATCTGCTTCTTAATATTCACAAATATCATCTGTTAAATGCTATTTTATGGCAGTTTTGCAAACAGCCCATTCATCAACTTCAAAGAAATGAGAAAAGTATGTGGTCAAAACAAGCAAAATAGAGAATTTCAATACCGCCTATCAAGTACTCAATTATCAGAAACAAAAACAAAAAATTATCTAAAAACAAAAAATCCAAAGACCACCTGTTAAAACAAATAAACTTATAATTCATATGAAAACTTCCAAAATTCTCATCTATGACCCGTTGTCCTTTACCTGTGACCCGAGCTTAATTGCTTGAGTATCTTAGACCTAGCAACATAGAAAGTTAGGATTCACTTCTGGAGAGAGATGAATAGTGCTGATAGCAAAGGAACAAAATACCAAAAAAAAAAAAAGTCTAGAAAAAGATAAAAAAGATTTTCAATACAGTCTGCATTTTTTCCCAAAGAAAACACATCAAAGCGAATAATATTAGTTGATGAGGGAGTAAGCATCACAGAAATTTCCTTTACAACTCAAAAACGATTTCAATTCCATAAAGAAATGGATAATGACAGCTCGGAAACACGTAAGTTTCTTAAGAAAGGACAGGGAAGAGGAAAAATGTTGCTAAATTTTTTTTTAAATGATGTAAATCAGTTTATTGGTCATGATTATTAAACATTCACAAGAACATTAACATATTACAACCATTTTTAAATGTGTATTACATATACTATTTCCTGAATTCAAAAGTATTAAGTATTAAAATTTGGATTTGTTTTAAGAATGACAAAAATTACTCCAATCTTTAAAGAGAACATCATCTTCCATTTTATTGAATTACCTTTCCTGTTTAAGAGCGTACTCCAGCATTTTGATCCTCCTCACAAGATCCTTCTTCAAAATTTCTTGACCCTTTCTTTCCCCCTGAAGGAAAGCAATCTGGGCCTGAGTAGGGAAAAGAAAGACAAAACTAAAATTAGACCAAATAAAAAAACTTTTTAACCCAGCTGAAGAAAGAAACTTTGGGAGATAGGACTCTTATATACAGATACGTTTCCTTCTACATATGTGTCACAAGTGCGTAAGTATATAGAAAGGCACTGATTGCAAGGGGAAAAAAACCTTTTTTTTAAAATATGCATTTTACTTCAGATCAGGGATGTTACAACAGGTAGACTGTGTCCTCTAAGAGTCTATAATCTAAAACAACCAATATAAATGCAGACATATGCAAAGTGTACAGTATAGTTTACTCAAGTGTTTATGGCATTGAGGGGGCTTCTCTTTTATAAAGAGTGAAGATGGGGAAAGGGGATAGTAAAATCCTGAGTTCTTGTAATACCACTGCGAAGTAACAGTTCTCAGAGCTTCACCACATATATAAATCTTATGATGGACTTAAGATTGTCTTGAAAGACTTTATTCTGGACCTCCCCTGCAAACAATAAAGAGCTGCCTTTTCTCAATCCCCACTTTCACCCCAGCCTCTTTTAGAAGATTTAATGTGCAGGAAAAAAGTGAAAGTTCAAAAAAGGAAAATCAGAAACCACAGCCCTCCATAGGTTCCTGGCCCCTTCAAGGAATAATTAAAGAAAAAAACAAAAACAAAAAAAAAACCCCTACATTTTAACATGTAAACAAACTGTAAAACTTTTGTCTTCAGAAAAACAGCTAGGTAAGAGTGGCTCTCCAGAATATCTAAAAAGACATTCAGAATTGAAATAGTATCTTCCACTTAAGGAACTGAAACTAGTTGCAAACACTAACTTGTTAAAGTAACTCGTAACACCACTAAGAATAGGGCAGAAGGGATTTAAGGATCCTTAAGAATAGCCATCGATTTCACTATTCTCATATGCTTTCCCCTTCCGTTTCTATTACATTAGTGCAGATAACAATGTTACTTATATTTCCACAGTGCTTTCCATTTAAGTAAGCAGGAACTTATATTTAATGATGACCATACCACATCCTTAAGAAATTGTGAATTGTCCAACTAAAGTTTAGTGAGTGAACCACTAACTACTGTTTGAATAACACTCCTTTCTATGTTTTCAGTACCATACTGAATACAAAATCCAATTTACCAAGGATCTTATAATTTTCAAGATGTAAGTAGTGCTGTTTTTGTTTTTATTTCAATAAGCTCTTGAAATTGCAATTAAAGAAGGATTATTTTTTCTTACTGAATTAAAAGTAGTCCAAAGACAACCATAGACAGAGAAAAAGAATATCTATACTACCCAAACTTAATGATCATAAAACCTCTCAAAATTATGTATTCTGCAAGGAGATCATTATTTTATGTAAGCATAATAATAACACAATGTATTTAAAGCTGACAAAAATGAGGGGCGCCTGGGTGGCTCAGTCAGTTAAGCTTCCAACTCCTGATTTCAGCTCGGGTCATGATCTTGCGATTGTGAGATTGAGCGCCCCAGGTCAGGCTCTGTGCTGAGCATGGAGCCTGCTTAAGATTCTCCCTTCCTGGGGCGCCTGGGTGGCTCAGTCAGTTAAACATCTGCCTTCAGCTCAGGTCATGATCCCAGGGTCCTGGAATCGAGCCCTGCATCAGGCTCCCTGCTCATGGGGAGCCTGCTTCTCCCTCTCCTCCCTGTTCATGTTCTCTCTCGCTCTCTCTCTCTCAAATAAATAAAATCTTTAAAAAAAAAAAAAAAGATTCTCTCTCTTTCTCCCTCTATCCCTCATCCACATCTGCCCCCCACACTCACCCGCTAAAAAAAAGGAATAATAAAAGCTGAAAAAAATGAAAGCCTTGTCAAAAGGATATGACAGTCCAACTTGTTTGACCAAACAATGCTTTGGCATAGAATTCTATACACTCTTCAAAACGACTTTAATAAAAATAATAATCTAATCTGCATAATTATAAAATCAGAGTAATAATAAAATCAATGACCAATTTCTTCCTCTCTATATCATTTGGCTAGTTTTGTATTACTGCCACCATCATGGTTTCTGGATGATTCTGAAACTTCAGCCCATAATACTGGAAAGTCTTTACTGTGATTAAAAACTCCTTGTGTTTCCAGTACACTTGCTTCCCCATCCTTCTACCAATTCACATATTGGATTAGTTAAATATTTAATAAAAATAAAAGACCTAGAACTGTTTAAGACAAAGGTTACAGAGAAGATGGAGTTGCCTAGAAAGACAAACAAAAAAGAATAATAGTATTGGTGATATTTCTTGGTGATCACAGAATAGCTCTGTGATATTTCTGCCAAAGATGCATAACCTAAAATCAATCATAAGGAAATATCAGGCAAATTCAAGTCAAGGGACATTTCACATAAACTTTCTTGTGATGTTCAAAAGTGTCAGCTCATAAAAGTCAAGGAAAGACTGTTTTAGATTGAAGGAGCCTAAAAAGACATGAAAACCAAATGTAATACATGATTTTGAACTGAATTTGGCTGTAAAAGGACCTAATTAGGACAAGTGATGAAACATGAATGGGGTCTGAGGATTAGATGGTAGTAATGTATCAGTGTTAATTTCCTGATTTTGATGGTTATATGTGGTTACATAAGATAGTACTTGTTTATAGGAAATAAACACTAAAGTATTTGGAGGGAGGCAACAGCCTATCAGGTTGGCTGGCAACTTGCCCTCAAATGGTTCAGGAAGAAAAACAATCTGTGTATTGCCCTTGCAACTGTTCTGTCAATGTAAGATTTATTTTTTTTTTTAGTTTTGAAACAAACACTATGCCAACTCCCCCTAATATAAGATACAAATAATTCAATTCAAAGTCAGCATTATGTATAATGGAAAAACCCAAGAAGTACTGACAATCAGGAACAAAAAAGGATGTCCATTTTTTACCACAAATATTTAACCATGTTCTGGAGGTAGTGGCCAATGTCATCAGTCAAGAAAGAAAGAAGTTTAAAAACAGAAAAAAGAAAACAAAATTGTTATCACTTGCAAATGATATGAGTGGATACCAGGAAAATCCAAAGAAACTGACTATAAAGTCTTACAAAAAATAGAGGAATTTTAATGAAGTAGCTACATGTAAAAATAATAAATTAAAACCCATGAGCTATGAAAACAGTTCTATAATGATAGAAAACAATCCCATTTCTAATAACAAAAATAAGCTGATGAGAATAAAACTTCCAAGAAAAAAAATAAAAGCTAAGCAAAGAATACAGCACATGAGAATTCTAAAATACACATGGGAAAAAAAGCAAAATAAACAAATTATTTAAAATCCCTGAGATATTTTAAAAGATATTATGATTCTACAATCACTTAAATGGTGGTACTGATTCATGAACAGAGCTATGGTATGGACAATCCAAACACAAACCCAAATATATACAGGAATTTAGTATATGCTAAAGGGGACGCTGCAGATCACTGGGGGGAATGTGGATTATTCAATAAATGTTGATGGGCAGCCACCTGGAAAATATTTCTCACATTAAAACAATAAAAAATGTTCAGGGGCGCCTGCGTGGCTCAGTCGGTTAAGCGTCTGCCTTCAGCTCAGGTCATGATTCCAGGATTCTGGGATTGAGCCCCACATTGGGCTCCTTGCTCAGTGGGGAGCCTGCTTCTCCCTCTCTCTCTGACTGCCGCTCCCCCTGCTTGTGCTCTCTCTCTCTCTCTGTCAAATAAATAAATAAAATCTTTAAAAAAAAATGTTCAAAGAACCCCAAAGCATTTGAAGAAAATGTAGGGTTTGTTTTTGTTCTAATAATCTCAAAGTTAGGAAAGCCTTTCTGAGAATAAGATAAAATCCAAAGCCATAAAAGACTAATACATTTTATCTCAAAAAAATATTTGCATGTATATGGCAATTAAAAAGTTGCTGAAAACCTGTTATGAGAAATAATACAATTCTTTTTTGACAACTGTCAAAATGAAATAGGAAATGCAGTCAACACAAATCACAAGAGTTTGCTTTTCTTACTATATTAAGAGCACTTACAAATCAGTAAGATAAGGACTCAACAGAAAAACATACAAAGGACATGCTCATAGAAAGGAAATACAAAACCTCAAACATATTAAAAAGATGTTTAATGTCACATGAAAGAGAAATACCAATTAAAACTATAATCAGATTTCCTCTTTTCCATCAGACTAGGTTCAATAATGTAATAAAACAATTATGTTGGGGGGAAAAGGCATTTGCATGTTGGCTGTGATGATATAAATCAGTTTCACTACAGGGGACAATTTGGCAACATCCACTGACTCTGTAAATGCTCATACTCTTTACTCAGCAATTCTAATTCTAGATTGTTATCCTTCAAATATATTTGCACACGTGTGAAATGATACACTGAAAGAATACACACAAAAATGTATGTATAATTCTAATGTCCCTCCACAGGGGACAGGTTAAATAAATTATAAATACCACTAGTGGAAAATCAGGTCCTCAACTGATATCTATAAAAAAAGAGGAAGAAAGAGTCAATCTCTTAGATATTTTCCCTCTGGAAAACTCTACTCAGAAAATTAGAAAAAAAGATCTTAAAACATATGTTCTTACAGACTAATTTCTTCTGTAAAAACCACCTGAGTCTAAAACATAATAACTGGTATAAATCTCTTTACCCTTTCAAAATAAAAAGTAAATCCCAGATAAAGATTTTTCTAATATGGCAGGATACTGTTGTTTGAATTGGATTATTTAACTGAAAAGACAGGAAGGGGAGGACAGACATAAGGGGAAAAAAAGACTGAAAGAAAGGAAGGGTAAGGTGGGAGGGGGAAAGGGGGAGGGAGGAGGGGGGAGAAGGGGTGGGGAAGGAAGAAAGGGAGGGAGGGAGGAAGGAAGGAAAGAAAGAAAAAATAAAAAGAAAGTGGGATACATCTATACAAAGGATTGCTACGTGTTTGTTACAGACAGCTCTAGATATATTGATTTAGAATGATTCCCAAGATAGATTAAATAAAAAAA